AGCCCATTTAAGCTTAACATCCTTGTCATTTATCGCCCTCCAGGTTCCCTCGGAGAGTTCATCAATGAGCTTGACGCCTTGATAAGTTCCTTTCCTGAGGATGGCTCACCCCTCACAGTTCTGGGGGACTTCAACCTCCCTACGTCTACCTTTGACTCATTTCTCTCTGCCTCCTTCTTTCCACTCCACTCCTCTCCTCTTTTGACCTCACCCTCTCACCGTCCCCCCCTACTCACAAGGCTCATACGCTTGACCTCATCTTTACTAGATGCTGTTCTTCTACTAATCTCACTGCAACTCCCCTCCATGTTTCCGACCACTACTTTGTATCCTTTTCTCTCTCGCTCTCCTCCAACACTACTCACTCTGCCCCTACTCAGATGGTAATGCGCCGTCGCAACCTTCGCTCTCTCTCTCCCGCTACGCTCTCCTCTTCCATCCTATCATCTCTTCCCTCTGCTCCATCCTTCTCCCTCCAATCTCCTGATTCTGCCTCCTCAACCCTCCTCTCCTCCCTTTCTGCATCCTTTGACTCTCTATGTCCCCTATCCTCCCGGCCGGCTCGGTCCTCCCCTTCAGCTCCGTGGCTTGATGACTCATTGCGAGCTCACAGAACAGGGCTCCGGGCAGCCGAGCGGAAATGGAGGAAAACTAGACTCCCTGCGGACCTGGCATCTTTTCACTCCCTCCTCTCTACATTTTCTTAATCTGTTTCTGCTGCTAAGGCCACTTTCTACCACTCTAAATTCCAAGCATCTGCCTCTAACCCTAGGAAGCTCTTTGCCACCTTCTCCTCCCTGCTGAATCCTCCTCCCCCTCCCCCCCCTCCTCCCTCTCTGTGGATGACTTCGTCAACCATTTTGAAAAGAAGGTTGACGACATCCGATCCTCGTTTGTTAAGTCAAATGACACTGCTGGTCCTGCTCACACTGCCCTACCCTATGCTTTGACTTCTTTCTCCCCTCTCTCTCCAGATAAAATCTTGCGAGTTGTGACGGCCGGCCGCCCAACAACCTGCCCGCTTGACCCTATCCCCTCCTCTCTTCTCCAGACCACCTCCGGTGACCTTCTCCCTTACCTCACCTCGCTGATCAACTCATCCTTGACCGCTGGCTATGTCCCTTCCGTTTTCAAGAGAGCGAGAGTTGCACCCCTTCTCAAAAAACCAACACTCGATCCCTCTGATGTCAACAACTACAGACCAGTATCCCTTCTTTCTTTTCTCTCCAAAACTCTTGAGCGTGCCGTCTTTAGCCAACTCTCTTGCTATCTCTCTCAGAATGACCTTCTTGATCCAAACCAGTCAGGTTTCAAAACTGGTCATTCAACTGAGACTGCTCTTCTCTGTGTCACGGAGGCTCTCCGCACTGCTAAAGCTAACTCTCTCACCTCTGCTCTTGTCCTTCTAGACCTGTCTGCTGCCTTTGATACTGTGAACCATCAGATCCTCCTCTCCACCCTCTCCGAGCTGGGCATCTCCGGCGCGGCTCACTCTTGGATTGCATCCTACCTGACCGGTCGCTCCTACCAAGTGGCGTGGCGAGAAGCTGTCTCCGCACCACGTGCTCTCACCACTGGTGTCCCCCAGGGCTCAGTTCTAGGCCCTCTCCTATTCTCGCTATACACCAAGTCACTTGGCTCTGTCATATCCTCACATGGCCTCTCCTATCATTGCTACGCAGACGACACACAACTAATCTTCTCCTTTCCCCCTTCTGATAACCAGGTGGCGAATCGCATCTCTGCATGTCTGGCAGACATATCAGTATGGATGACAGATCACCACCTCAAGCTGAACCTTGGCAAGACGGAGCTGCTCTTCCTCCCGGGGAAGGACTGCCGTTCCATGATCTCGCCATCACGGTTGACAACTCAGTTGTGTCCTCCTCCCAGAGTGCGAAGAGCCTTGGCGTGACCCTGGACAACGCCCTGTCGTTCTCCGCTAACATCAAGGCGGTGACCCGATCCTGTAGGTTCATGCTCTACGACATTCGGAGAGTACGACCCTGCCTTACACAGGAAGCGGCACAGGTCCTAATCCAGGCACTTGTCGTCTCCCGTCTGGATTACTGCAACTCGCTGTTGGCTGGGCTCCCTGCCTGTGCTATTAAACCCCTACAACTCATCCAGAATGCCGCAGCCCGTCTGGTGTTCAACCTTCCCAAGTTCTCTCACGTCACCCCGCTCCTCCGCACACTCCACTGGCTTCCAGTTGAAGCTCGCATCTGCTACAAGACCATAGTGCTTGCCTACGGAGCTGTGAGGGGAACGGCACCTCCGTACCTTCAGGCTCTGATCAGTCCCTACACCCAAACGAGGGCATTGCGTTCATCCACCTCTGGCCTGCTGACTCCATTACCTCTACAGAAGCACAGTTCCCGCTCAGCCCAGTCAAAACTGTTCGCTGCTCTGGCACCCCAATGGTGGAACAAGCTCCCTCACGACGCCAGGACAGCGGAGTCACTCACCACCTTCCGGAGACATTTGAAACCCCACCTCTTTATGGAATACATGGGATAGGATAAAGTAATCCTTCTACCCCCCTTATCCCACTGGCTATAAGGTGAATGCACCAATTTGTAAGTCGCTCTGGATAAGAGCGTCTACTAAATGATGTAAATGTAAATGTATAAAATGCAAATTAATTACTTAAAAATCATACAATGTGATTTTCTGGATTTTTGTTTTAGATTCCGTCTCTCACAGTTGAAGTGTACCTTTGATAAAAATTACAGACCTCTACAGTAGGAAAACCTGCAAAATCGGCAGTGTATCAAATACTTGTTCTCCCCACTGTACGTACGGTCACTGTGGGGATGATGTCGTCGATGCACTTATTGATGAAGCCGGTGACTGAGATTGTATCCTCCTCAATGCCATTGGATGAATCCTGGAACATATTCCAGTCTGCTAGCAAAACAGTCGTGTAGCGTAGCATCCGCGTCATCTGACCACTTCCGTATTGAGCAAGTCACTGGTACTTCCTGCTTTAGTTTTTGCTTGTAAGCAGGAATCAGGATAGAATTATGGTCAGATTTTCCAAATGGAGGGCGAGGGAGAGCTTTGTATGTGTCTCTGTGTGTGGAGTAAAGGTGGTCAAGAGTTTTTTTCCTCTGGTTGCATTCACTCTTTTCTCTGTGTATATCAATGATGTCGCTCTTGCTGCTGGTGACTCAGATCCACCTCTACGCAGACGACACCATTTTGTATACATCTGGCCCTTCATTGGACACTGTGTTAACAAACCTCCAAACGAGCTTCAATGCCATACAACACTCCTTCAGTAGCCTCCAACTGCTCTTAAACACTAGTAAAACTAAATGCATGCTCTTCAACCGAACGCTGCTTGCACCCGCCCACCCGACTAGAATCACTACTCTCGACGGGTCTGACCTAGAGTATGTGGACAACTACAAATACCTAGGTGTCTGGTTAGACTGTAAACTCTCCTTCCAGACTCACATTAAGAATCTCCAATCCAAAGTTAAATCTAGAATCGGTTTCCTATTTCGCAACAAAGCCTCCTTCACTCATGCTGCCAAACATGCCCTCGTAAAACTGACTATCCTACCGATCCTTGACTTCGGCGATGTCATTTACAAAATAGCCTCCAACACTCTACTCAGCAAATTGGATGTAGTCTATCACAGTGCCATCCGTTTTGTCTCCAAAGCCCCATATGCTACCCACCACTGTGACCTGTACGCTCTTGTTGGCTGGTCCTCACTACATATTCGTTGCCAAACCCACTGGCTCCAGGCCATCTATAAATCACTGCTAGGCAAATCCCCGCCTTATCTTAGCTCATTGGTCACCATAGCAACACCCACCCTTAGTATGCGCTCCAGCAGGTATATCTCACTGGTCATCCCCAAAGCCAACACCTCCTTTGGCCGCCATTCCTTCCAGTTCTCTGCTGCCAATGACTGGAACAAATTGCAAAAATCTCTGAAGCTGGAGACACTTATCTCCCTCACTAACTTTAAGCATCAGTTGTCAGAGCACCTTACCGATCACTGCACCTGTACACAGCCCATCTGAAATTAGCCCGCCCAACTACCTCATCCCTATATTATTTATTTTGCTCATTTGTACCCCAGTATCTCTATTTGCACATCATCTCTTGCACATCTATCATTCCAGTGTTAATACTAATTGTAATTATTTTGCACTATAGCCTATGTATTGCCTTACCTCCATAACTTGCTACATTTGCACACACTGTATATATATATATTTTTTTCTGTTGTATTTTTGACTTTGTTTTGTTTTACCCCATATGTAACTCTGTGTTGTTGTTTTTATCGCACTGCTTTGCTTTATCTTGGCCAGGTCGCAGTTGTAAATGAGAACTTGTTCTCAACTGGCTTACCTGGTTAAATAAAGGTTAAATAAAAAAAATAAAAAATAAAAATGAGGTCAAACGGATTTAAGTGTGCCTGCATTAAATTCCCTGGCCACTAGGAGCGCCGTTTTTGCATCTTTGACTTTTGGTTTCGTACACCAGCTTCAAACAGCTGAAAATAATATATTTTTGGTTATGGTAAAGATATTTCACAGCGGTTTAGATGGTACATTAATTCTCTACACTATACTTTCTTGTTTTGTCACATAAACTGAAATTAGGCGAACTATTAGAAGTTTAGCAACTGGAAATGGAGGAGCGATTTATGCATAGGGGCTCTTTAAGAGGCCTGTTATGTGAATAAAAATTAATGACCAGTCCCCCAAAATTATTTGCTGTTGTGACTATTTTCAACAGAAATGCAAGAGTACATTGGCTGTAGCCTACTTACTACCACAGCCATTTGCTACACAGTTTGTTCTTCTATGCGCACGCGCAGTTCGTGACATTGTATTTTTTGTCGACTGTTGATAAAGTGTTTTGGGTGGAGTGGCAGAGTAGATCGTTTTAGACACATCTAAACACAGCACAGCAAGTAGCATACCTTTGGACCTCGAAAATTGTAAACTATCAAAAGCCTACATTTGGAGGTACTATGGAACCACGGTAAGATAACGTTTTATTTTACATAATAGTTTATACTCTGAAACTGTTTTTTAGAATCTGGGCATAACTTTCACTGCATGAATTTAAAAACCTCACTGACTGAACCATGTCTCAACAAGTTGAGAATGTTGCCTCAGGCACTCTGTTCTGTTCTCCATAGCGTAATTTATGAAGGATGTTGTTATGTATGTTATTGCCATAGAGCAGTGAGAAAAGTCAAAAACATGCACTGCATGCATAACCAACATCTTTCAATAGTTATTGTCAATAGGCTTTTGATTGACCATGGAGTCAATCAGTTCATTTTGAGTTTTTTTCTCTTTTTCGATTTAGGAAAGGAATTGCATGCATCCATGTTTTAAAATCTTTCTATGGAAATCTGTTACCACAATATTATGTTTAAAATGTGTTAATTGTGTAATCTACAGGTCTGCTCTGCGTGGCTGTGGATTCCTTGTCATTTTGCTGGCAGTGGTGTTCCCCCCTCTTGATGCAGCAAGGTATGTGAATCACTGGAGATGATGTTTGCTCACTCTACTGTTCATCTGTGTTGCTGATAATCTAGCACATAATCCAGTCCAATGTAGCCTTTAGTTTAAACCATCCAATTACCTTGCAGTTACTGTTATAATTGTATGAATGTGGATAATCCTAAAATATTCACAAGATATTCTGTATTATACAATAATAATAGAAGTCAAAATTAAAAGCAAATGCAATGAAATTGGATTCATAATCTTTAACAGACTCCAAATAGAGAAACGGTATTGGTTCATGACTGCTTTCAAGGGTCAGCGTTTTTAGAGATGTACTAAAAATACATAGTATTTTAATAGTACCTTTTATCAGACCCCAAAACGCTTTTACAATAGGCAGTTTTAAGGAAAACAAAACCAACCACAATGTAGGCCTACTAGGATAGGGTAGAGGAGAGGCCAAACCAACAAGATCACAGTTTACTGTTGCTTCATTCAGAATCATGATGGGTTCAACATGGATTTAAAAGCCTTGATAACTATTGTTTACATGGACATTACTGATCTGGTTATTACAATATTTCTATACTTGATTATTATATACTTATAACATAATTATTACACTTTATTATAAAAAATGTTTTGCTCTCCTGTTGTTGTAGTCAGGCAATAAACCAGGAGTTGTCAGACCTCTTCAACGAGCTCTGGAAGCTGGATGTGAACCGCATGAAGCCTGGGACTGACTACACCATCTCTGTGCAGGTGGGATATGACTAGGGCCCCCATGACTAGAGTTTTCCCTGACCACCTTACCTGACACACATTCCATTATTAGTTACAGGCTATAACTAGGACCTGGACAGGAACAAACTCCTGGCCCTAATTTACACCTCATAAGTAGGCCTCCTGGACAGGAAAACCTCTGAAATGTCCCTCCTAAGATGGCCTGCTAAGAACAAATTCCAGTCCCTACTGAAATACCCCTCCCTAAGATGTAGGCCTGCTCAGGAAAAACTCAGGTCCTTGTACTGAATTACATCTCATAAGAAGAAGGCCTAGCCTATGTTATTTTGACGAGGGAAGTGTTTAGTTGTTGGTGTATTTGTATGTGTCGTCCACTCCAGGGCAAAGCTGGCTATGTCTCCCAAGGCAGTAACCATGCCAGGGACCATGCCTCATCGCCTCTCTTCTCCAATGTCAATGAGAACAAACTGAAGACCGTTACTACCTTCTCCCGTAAGTATCTGTGACTACATCAAAATTGGGAAACAAATTGTTAGGATAGACTATATGAACTGAACATAGTAGTGAACTGAAGTAGTCTCATATAGACACAAACATTGATGTTATAATGTATGAAAATGTATGCACTCACTAACTGTAAGTCGCACTGGATAAGAGCGTCTGCTAAATGACTAAAATGTAAATGTAAAATAATGTAATTATGTTTGTGTTTTTCTGAGACTTTAGAATTACTTTAAAATTACTTTCTGTTACTTTCAAATGCCATTCTAATGACTTTCTGTGACTTTCAATCTCTTCTTTGATGTGTTCAACGACATTCCGCTGCAGGATTCATGAAGCTCCTGGACAACTATGAGAGGTCAACAGGCGTGGCAGAGCGTGTCAGCCCAGAGGAGGTCACAGAGAACAATCTCTTCCTGGATGCCATTCTGAACACAGAGGTCATGAAGGTACAGCAGAACATGTCACCTAAATTGCCTACAATTGGTATAGTGGTCCTGTGTGGCTCCGTTGTTATGAGCGTGGCTGGGGTTCGATTCACAAGTATTGCAATATTATTTTAGCAGAATTTTTTTTTTTTTTGGAACATGTTCTGAACACTTTTTTCTCAAAAGCTTGTCTTCTCATGGTTCTCTCTTGTTCCTCTGCAGCAGACATATAGTGAGCAATATGTTTGGAACATCGAATCACAATACATATAGAATTGTAATACATATAGAATCGCAATACAAATCGTATCGGCACCAAAGTATCGTGAGGTCCCTGGCAATTCCCAACCCTAAGCTATATGCATAAATGCTTTTGAGTTTGCCTGAAAATAGTGTTTGTGAGTGGGCTCCCATGCTCCACTCAAGGTCAGTAGCTACTCTGTGAAACCAAAGTCCAGAGGGAGTATTGGCTCTTCCTGTCACACTCTGTTCTTGGACGCCCCTGGCCACGATGTTAGGAGAAAAACACAGGGAACAATGCAGTACATCTAAAACATCTGGGAAGTCTTGGCATGCTGTCTTGGCTGGGGCCTTTTCTCAAATAAAGACCTTACAGCCTGTGGGGACACATGTTCAAAATGTGTATAATACAATGTATCATTTTGAGATTAACATTTCTAAGAAAATTATAACAGGCAAGTACAACAACATTTCTGTAAATCCTAAACAGGAGTATGCCCTCTTATGTATAATCATGCATAAATGATTTAACAGTGTCCTTTGTCTGTGTTTTAAGATTATTGGTCATTGTGACATCTCACATTGACAATATGGACAGAGAGGAGTTTGGTGTGTGTGTGTCACTTGGTGAATTTATTTCTGTATGTTTTTCCCACAGCGTGCCCACAGGTACCTAGTTAGCAAGGGCCAGTCCCACTCAGACCTGAGGACGTTCAAGGGTCAGCTGTACACCATCTGGTTCCGCCTCTACCACAGAGACAGAAGTGGAGGGTAAGAATTGGGGAGTATTCATTAGTGCACACCATAGCTGTGAAGGTTTGACTGTGGGCAGGCCTTATTTCCACTAGGGGGAGTGGTAGGACCACATTCAAGCCCTCACATGAATACTAAGGGTGGTTGATGATCCCCAATCAGAGACAGCTGTCTAGAGTTAGTCTCTGATTGGGGATAGTATTTAGGCACCTCTCACATCCACCTGTGTGTGGATCATTGTTCGTGCTTGTCTGCTATTGTGTTCACGGCACGTAAGTCACTTGGTGCTGGTCTCTTTTTGCTTATTTTTGAGAACGTATAGTGTGATAAGTTTAATAAAAGGATGACACTCTACGAGCGCTCCGTTTACCGTCCCTTAACTCAGCATCGTGACAATAGCGAAACGTTTTGCAACAGAAAACATGTTGCAGTTGTTACAAGGTACAACGTATGCTAGTACTGCAATAAACAATATACTATCAAAGGAATGCACAAAGGATAATTAAATATGACATGGTACACAGGGAACAAGGGCTCATGGCAAAAAAACAGAATGTCCTCAAATCAAAAAGCAAATCATTTGTAAAAGGAGAGAAGACGAGTTCTGAAATTTCACATACGCATCAGAGAAAACAATTGAACTAAATTCAAATCTTGGTTGTGTTTTCAGTAGTTCATTACTTTTCTGCAATGTAGTGGTGGAGTTAACTACTGGAACTACACTACTGGTTTACAAAAAATAAAACATGGGTGAAATAGGCAAAAATCTCATTTTTCGGCATCAGACCTGCCTAATTCTCACTTGAATTATAGTTTGTGTGTTTAATAAGCTAAATTAAATGTTCTGTTAACATCTGACATCTTCAGTGTGAACTGTTCTTGCAATTTGTAGTCTATGACATTTTAGAGTTCAGATATAATATTTTATCACAAAGTATTTTGGATGTAGTGAACAACTTTTTTCAGAGTAACTTTAGTTAAGTAAACTATATTTTTCTTAAGGGTAGCTTTGGTGTAGCTTAACTTCTTCCAGTATGAAGTAATTAGTAGCTTGGTAAACTATATTTTCAGAGTAGCTTCCCCAACACTGGTAATGAATAGGGTGTTTCCCCCCTAGTAAAGCAAGGCCTATCATCAATGAATAGGCTAGAATATTCTACACGCAACAGACCGAAGACTGAACACACACTCGCATCATTAGCGAAGCGAAAGAGCAGGGGTGTAATCATTCGTCCAAACAGTTGCAAAATGGAACGTTTTGCAACTAAAACAAGAGTTTCTAATGGACAAATGCAGGTAGGTCCCTTCCCGTTCCGTTTGCTTCCATGTTAGAATCGGCATAATGAATACACCCCCAGGCGAGCCAGCGCGAGGGAGAGAAATTAGGGTTTTATTTATATTACACAACTTTCCCCAGGCCTTTATAGCCTATCGTCTAGTTAGGCTATAACACAGATAATAATGTTTTGTGATAATTGCACTGCGATTAAAATTTTGTTTAAAATTAAATAAAATTAAAAAGTGTAGTTTTTCAGTTTGGGATTTTTGTTAACGTTAAGGATCCCAATTTCGTTTAACAATTCAAGTATTTAAACGTTCACACCCCTATACTGTACTTGACTATACTCTATTGTACTGTAGCCTACTGTACTGAACTCTACTTTACTGTACCTTACCGTATTGCACTTTACTGTACTGTACTCTGCTGTCCAAACTTGTGAAACATAGATGTTTATGATTGGTTTAGATTTGGTCTGGTCCAGACCGACCAAATTTGGTCTTGTTTGGGGGCGGAGCAAGTGTTAATTTTGACATTTACATTTTGGTAATTTAGCAGATGCTCTTATCCAGAGCGACTTACATTCAACTTTCATTCAACTAAGGTAGATTAAAAAAAAACACATTAGGTTCATAGCAAGTAAAACGTTTCTGTAACCGTTACTGAGAATGTTGTTGAAGTGTTCTGTTGGTTTTGTCAGAAGACTTTTAAAGCTTTTAAAAAGGCTAAAGTAAGCACAAGTGAAAGATGGGGACAATAATAAATATTCCATACTGCAATCTTTAGTTTAAGAAATGATTCTTACTTTAATTGGAAATAAATTATTCTGAATGTGATATGCTTTCTTCATTGACATGTAGATATAGTATATGTGAAATTATGTTCGGTCCTGAAAATACGTATTTTCAACATCCAGAAAGTTCGTATTTTCAACATCCGGAAAATACGTCTTTTCAACTTTCATTCAGAACCGAAAATGAACCAGATTTCAACGTCCGGAAAATATGTATTTTAGACGTTTTTTCAACACAATTTTGCTCACTAGATCCTACATGTGTTGATTTGTAGGAGAGAGTGGGGTAATGAGCCACTTTTTACATTATCCACCACTATGGAAACTTTCTGATATTGCTCTAAGTATGATAAATAGTGGGTCCTTATCTAATGATATATTTAATGATCTGTTTATTGTTGTAATTGCAGCTCACCAGTATTTTTTCTATGTCCAGAAGATGTGGACCATATCTGCCACTTGTTCACTGCTTCTCTCCAGCAGTTTGGCTGTTTATTGAGGAACATTTTGACCACCATTTCTGGAGTTTGATAGAACTGGGATTTCCCATTGGAATTCCCGCCACAAATTTGAGTTTGTTACTTTGTGTGAAATGTGTCTTATCCCAGACTGTTGTTCATTTGACAGTGAGGACTCGTGCGGATTTGAGCATGTGTTCGTTGGAGAGACTAAATTCGGAAATGAGATTGCCGGTTTCCATAACTGGGTCCAGTTCTACCTGCAGGAGAAGAGCAGGAATTTGGACTACAAGGGATACAAAGCCAGGGACCATGACATAGTAAGAGTCCTAACAGCCCTTTTCAAAGCATGTAACATGTGCCTGCCATATTGTTTTTGAGATGATTGATCAAAATTACCTTTACTTTGAATTGCATTGACATGATCTCAAAACCTACACTCTCTCACTGCAGCTTCAAACATGTCTACCTCATGTTAACTTATGCTTGTTCCCAACCCACACAAACCAACTTAATGAATTATATAGTTTACTTTTGTCTAACAAAGATGTCCCCCACTCTTTCTCACTTACTCACACACACACAGCCTGACCAAGATGACCACGTCCTGAACCTCCAGTTCAGCTGGCACGGTTTGGTGAAGCCGGTGGGCAGTGCCTTCGTGGGGGCCAGTCCGGAGTTTGAAATGGCCCTCTACACCATCATCTTCCTCATCAACACACATCGGAGCACCACAGTGGTGGTCAACATTGACGAATGTCAGCTGGAGGTGGTGGTGGTCAGGCATGGGCGCTCCATCGGGACGGCCTACCCCAAACTGCTTAGCAGCAACAACAGGCACCTGTAGTTGGAGGCATCAAACGCACGCACACAAGCATAGATATATGAATAAGACTGCACACACACACACACACACACACACTGTTTTGGACTGGGCATTTAACCAGGCCAGTTTGCTTCACAATTAGGCCTACGCCACATAACCTTTCTTTAGCTGACTGCACTGTGTAATCTGCACAACAGGAACATACATGGACACATCTGATATGCAGGGCATGCATGTGTAAGATATAAAACTATGGACTTGTGTTGTAAAGTCTGATGTTTTCCTACAAGTTGAAAAGTTAAGGTAAAGAACATGTTTCAGAAGAAGTTTAACTCACTGTCCGATTTCAACAGCACTACAGCAGTGACTCATTGTAATGGAAACTGCACATGTTGTGCCTCATTTAAATAAACCATTTATATCAAAGTAATTTGTTTATAAGCCATGTCATGAAGTCTGTATTAAGCATTCTGGAAATATGGCCCTTCCCAACATGCATTGCCCATCTGGACACCTGCTTAGCCAATGTGTAGGCTTTTTTAAGTGCCTATGTCAAGGCAATAATGATTTCAATACAAGTCATTCTACCATTTTCCAAATGTGCTCATGCATCTAGTAGCCCATACTGTAATAAAATGTGCATTACCAAGTCAAACGTTGGTCAATGTATTATTGCATTCTCCATATGTGCAGTCATGAACAGCCAGTTATGAATAGGCTAGCTTACTTATGCAATTGGTTAGTATATGCTACTATTAACTTTTTTCTGTCATTTACCCTTTAAAGTAACTGTCTGGTGTTTCCCGATTTCTATTAAATATGACCTATAATTAAGTACAATATGAGTGAAATAGTTTTCCTTCCAATAAATGGTAATTAAGTATGTTGAAAAGCAGCTTTTCTGTGTTGGAATGGTGTGTGCTTACCATAACAAAAGAATGGGTGTATACTGGTTATTAACAATATTCATGCAAGTAGACTGCTGATTGGCCAGCTCATACTCCTCAGGATGACATCCTCTATGATGAAATAGCAAGCATTTTTTAAACGTCTGTTTGAGATGTTTGAGGTGAGGTTTTTGAAGTGGGTTTTTTTCTCTCCAATTTATGCTTTGGCCACAAACGTGAATATAGGATGAGTCAACAACATTATTTGGGTATGAGTTAACCAGTGGTGACCCGTCATTCAGGGCAGGTTTTTTATTTTTTTGTTGTTGCCTGTTTTGCATGTTATTTTGGCATAACTACGTGTCACATATCAGTTTGCAAACAATGTAAAAAAAAAAAAAAAAAATTGAGTTAATAAAGCTGCATACACAAATGGTCTCTTTTTTGCATTCTTGAGTAAGGCAGCTCCAACATGCAGGCGTTTCAGCCCAGCTCAGTGCTTTCTGTGGTGGTGGGGCAGCCAGCGGAAAATACAGAGCGTAGGGGTTGGTAATGTTCTCTAGTTGCGCCGTGATTGGCTCTGTGTTCTGTCACTCATGGGGACACTACGTCCCCACAAAATCTATAGGGAGAGCTCGAAAATTCAAGCCCCTTGGGTGCTGCCATAGATTTACATTAGAAGTGCCCATCCAAGAAGGTCATTGGCCATAGATAAAATGACATCAAATCACATTATATCTACCATAGCTTTGATTGGACTGATCATGTCAACGTCATACTTTCAAAATCTTAGCTAGCAAGCTTGACAAGCAGTCATTGTCATGAATCAAGTCAAATCTACTGGGAAATCCTTTTCAATTCTTTTCATATGATGAGATATTATAGATAAAATGTATCGGTGCTCATTGGCCATTGGACATAAACATTACACAACAAGTTGGAAATCACAAATTCAACAATGAGTGGTTTGGAAGGAGTCAGTGGCTAACTGCAAGCCTTGCAAAGCAATCACTAGCCTGCTATTCAGTGCAAAGGGTATGTGGTCCAAGTCTGGGTTTAAGGGTCTCTTTTCCAAGATTAAAAGGATAAACATTCACATGCAACACTATGGTCCAGAAAAGGTTGAATACATTGGCCATGTTGTCAATCCAGCATGACTTCTGCCGCATTCAAAACAACTGGACATTTTGAAAACTCAGAACTGGGAAATCTCAGACTTCTGTGAGTTCAAGAGAACTGGGAACACTGGGAAAAAACGAGCTCTGACTGGGAAAGTAGTTTTGAATGGTCAACCAACTCGGAATTCCAAGTCAGGAACTCAGGCCTCTTTCTAGAGCTCCAACCTGAAGATCACTGACGTCATGATCCGACCTTGTTTTTTTCAGAGTTCCCAGTTGTCTTGAAAGCACCATAAATCCACAGAATGCCAGACATTGATGACAAAGTTTGATGACAAAATTTGCCCACAACAAGGACCGCTGCGCCACCTTCCTGTTCAACTGAGCACAGCACAACAAGGTGAGTCCAAAAATGTTTTGTATGCTGTTTGCATAAATGATGTAATATGCCAGGGAGATATGTATACTGTAGCTAAGAAAGTAATACTAAGTGTATGTTGTGTAGTACGCTGTTAGTAGCCCATGTGCCTCACCCTAATAATTTGGTCCCTTTCCCACTTATAGTTTAGTCTACTGTTCTGACTTGGTTGTGCACATGTAGGCTAAAGCCTGTTTTAGTGAAATGTCATCATCGAATATTGTAAGAGCTTTCATTGTCTGCTTATATGCCACCTTTATTTATCCTACGGTTCTGACTTGGTGTACAGGAAGAATATTGTTAGAACGGCCCATGTTCTGAATTCTGTCGCTGTATATTTCAAAAGTGCTGAACAAATAATTATATTGACTATGTCTGTCTTAGCTCGCTCATGAATGTCTTAATCGAAATTACGGATAGCCTCTTATCCTCTCATCATTCCCTTATGCCATAGTTTGTACATCTCAATTGTCAGTAGAAACCACATTTGTTTAAGCAAGTCAGCCATATCAGCTATGTTTTTATAAAAGGCAGTAAATGAGGCTGAATTAACTGTTTTTGCTGCCAGACAAGGCTCGGCTGATAGCCAGGTGTAACCGTTGTAAGGATTCACTCCATGGTGCTGAAAAGAAAGCACTGCTGTTGGGACAGCGTTATGTAGACCCTAACAGTTTGTGGGCACCATTTGTCACTTTTATAGTGCAATTAATGTATTGTTTAGATTTTCATTGGACAGTACATTAACATATTCAGAAATACCTAGGCCTTGTTCAAAATAGACCATGTTTTGGTCGTCGAATGCAAGTAGGCCCACTGTATAATAAATAAAACATCAAAAAGTCTATGCCATTTCTTATTTTCAGAATTTTGGCGGGATAGGGCAAACCATTTCAAATTGCATATGCATAGAGACGGATTTTCCCGCACTGGAAGCTGGAAGTGACGTACTTCCTTCGCAGTGAATGGCGCTGCATGCAACAGATGCCAGCGGAGAAACACAGCAACACAGAAATCTAAACAGGTGTTATTCAAACTTTCATCGGAGCTGGCCAAGTAGAAGTTGTGACTATGTTGCACGCGTCACAGTCTGCATTTTGATGTAGAACATCCCTTGTTGCACAACAACTTCAACGCGCGCCTTCCATCCCACCAGCTTTCAAAAGTTCCGCCCTCTGGAAAGACAGGTAATTTGACATGTTTATCGAACATTGCCTTCAACTTGCGTGTTGTTAAAATCATCAAAAGTAGCCTACAATAGAGGGCCTTGCTTGATTTTGTGCAAGATGATGAATAGTATCTTACAAAAGCATTGACAGCAGAGCCTACACTTCTGCCTTTATCGCCTACGTTTTGTATTCGACATCTATTCTATTTAGCTAGCCTGTCTGTTTGTTCAGTGTTTTGATAACCGCGGCCATACTCTGGACCTGGATATTACCAAGGGACTTTCTATTGACATATCCTCAATTGGTGATGTTACTTTATCTGATCAGCACTGTGTATTTTTTACTACCTTGTTGCCCATAACACAGGGTAATACTTAACGTGTTATTAAGAAACGCTATCTTACCTCTGAAGTTGCTACAGATTTTATTGAGTGTATGAACAATACTCCACCACCTATTCTGCCTTCCTCTTGTGATTATTTAGTTGATAAGCTCCAGTAAAGTTGAAAAAGGCCACATCCAAACGGAGAGACCCTTGAATAAGTGAGGAAACAAATCATTTAAAGATAAATTGCAGAAAGGCATAGCAGAGAAAGTCGAAGTTGGTAGGTCCATTATGATATTCTGAGAGAGCAACTTGCCATATATAACAAGGCAATTAGAAATGGCAGACAGGCTCATTTTTCTAACTTGATCACTATTAATCTGAATAATTCGGCTTGATAAATCCTACCCCGCAAGCCTATGGGAACTTTCCTCCACATCTAAATGTGATGGGTTGGCAGCATATTTCAGAGATAAGATAACCAACATTAGGCTGGGTATCAGTCAACCAAGACCTGATGAGAAGTTTGATATGTGCCCTAGCCTACCACGCAAAGGCACTATGGATTTATTTTCCCTGGTTGACACAGGCACGCTCAGGAAAGTGATATCACAATTGAAGCCTTCTCGATCCCACCACCTTCTTCAAAACAGTTTTTAATTGCATATCTGAAGAAGTGCAATCTATTGTTAATCACTCCCTGTTCACAGGCACTTTCCCCACTGCACTACAAACTGCTATGGTGAAACCCCTTCTGAAGAAAAGTAATCTAGATTCTTCAGCTCTTAGCAATTTTCAGCCAATCTCCAACCTTTCATTCTTAAGCAAAATTCTGGATGAATTGTTTTTCAAAAAGCAAAATGATTTTTTAAGTGCCAACTGTATTTTTGAAATATTTAAATCTGGTTTTCATGCCCACCACAGCACAAAAACAGCCTTAGTTAAAGTGGTAAATTATCTTAGAGCCAACACAGATGCCAAACATTTCTCTGTCCTTTTACTCTTAGATTTAAGTGCTGCATTCGACACTGTTGACCATGGTGTCCTTCTTGACAGACCGGAGAAAGGGAAAGGAAAGTGGGATACAACTGAATGCATTCAACTGAA